CGGATCGCCTCAATAGCCTTGATAGCGTTGGCAATGTTGGTAAAGTTGACAAATGCGCAGCTCTTCTCTCTCAGGGTGTTGACCAGCTCGATCTCGCCGAATTCGGAGAAGTCCTGTCTCAATCGCTCCTCGGTCCAGGTCTCATCGAGATTACCAATGTAGACGTTGCGCGAAGCTCCTCCACTGACAGCGAGGGCGATGGCAGGCGGCAAAGCACCAGAGTGCTTGCCCCATCCAATCTTGAGCCTGCGGTTGTGAATCATCAAACCCTGGAGGTTGCTCAAAGCGTAGAAAGACGCGGCGGCCGTGGGGTCGATGAACGTGACGAAGCAGATGTGCTTATCAGGGATGTAACGGATGTGGTGGAGAAGACCTCCGCGCACAACGTTGCAAATCTCCTCAATGGTTGTCTCGGGGTGGATGTTGCCCAGGTAGATGGTGCGGTTTCCGAGGTTGTTGATGCCACCAGCGGTCGTTGCAACGGCAGCTGCGGCAACAGATTGCTGAGCCAGCGCATTGGAGATCACGTCGCGGTCTGCGCCAGTAAGCATGTGCGCATAGCCAGGCGCAATTCCCAGGTATTGAGCAGCGTTCTGCTGCTGCGTCTTGGAAACGTAGGCGCATCGGTCCTTGCCGTAGTAAACGCGACGAGGGGCCTGCCACTTCGGCTCTTGAGGAAGCTGGGAAACAGCCTTGATCGCATTGGCAATGGACAAGAAGTGAATGAAGGCAATGCTCTTCTCACGAACAATCTTGACCGTGTCGATAGCACCGAACTTTCCAAGGTCCTCGCGAAGCTCCTCCTCGGCAATATCCTCCGGCAGGTTACCTAGGTAAACGTTACGGGAAGCACCCGACTGCTGAACAGCCAGAGCCACAGAGGTAGGAACCTGCGAAGGCTTGCCCCAGCCGACCTTAATGTCCTGGCCCTTGATGCAGAGCTTTTTCAAGATGGCATCAGAGTGGAAGTGGGTTGCGGAGCTAGCGTCGAGGAAGGAGATGAAGGCGCAGTTCTTATCGGGCAGAAGACGGACGGACTCGATTTGTCCGCTACGAACGTGACCCAGAATCTCCTCGGCAGAGGTGTCAGGGGGAATGTTGCCAAGGTAGACGGTGCGGCTGGTGCCAGTAACCATACCCGGGCCCATTGAAACGGGGGAGCTGGGCTGCATGGGAATCTGCATGTTGTTGAAGCTACCACCGGTCGGAGACTGAGGCTGGAAGAACTGGGGGGCACCGTAGGTCGAAGGAGAAACCATGGCCTGGTATTGCTGAGGAGACATGTTCTGCTGAACAGGGCTCTGCAGACCATTGTGCTGCTGCTGCTGCTGCTGCTGGCTCTGGTGCTGAGCTTGCTGGAAGCTCTGCAGGTTCTGGAACTGAGGGCTAGCGAAGGCCGCCGGGGTTCCAGGCTGGAAGGGGCTTCCGAGCAACAGCTGGGAGGGAAGAAGAGGCGTGAACTGCATGTCGAAAGCGGTGCCAGGAGTGGCCATGTCGGCGGCGGAAGGGGGCGCCTGCTGGTGCTGGTGCTGATGCTGGAGGTGGTTCAGGGGCTGAGTGTTGATGGTGGGAATGTTTCCACGACGAGGGTGTCTGTCAGCGAAGCCAGAGATGTTGGAAGTGAAAGCTCCGTGAGAGAAGCCAGTTTCGCTGTTGGAAGGCTTGGAAGCGTGGCCGAAGCGGTTCCCAGGAGCACTGGGGCCGCCTTGGCCGACGGGTCCTTGAATTTCCTGCATCCCGAGTAGATGCGGAGGGACAAGGCTGTCCCGACCGATTTGAGATAAAATCGCCGTTTTGAAAGATTAGACGTGCCCTGAGCAGGCACGAAGAATCGAAGATTGGCGCGTTGGAATGCTACGATATCCGAGGAATACCGTAGTGTTCAACGTGTGATTGGGTAGGTCTCAAAATCCGTCCAAGGGGCAAGCCAGCGATGTCAGAGTCCAAGACAAAGGTGGAGCGAGACTGGTGGTGCTAGCTTGGTTAAACCAAGCTATCAACGGGCCGTTTGGTGAGGTTTGTGGCGAAAGGGTGCCTGGTGCCAAAGTCGAAGTTGATGAATTATATGGATCGAAGCAACAAAACCTAATCAGGCGGTAAGATCGAGGCAAATGCGTTAGGTTGCGACTAGAAGCCTAGATATCTCCGTTGTTGCCGTAGAAAGCAATGTGGTGCAAAGTATTCCGAGTAAGTTTTGTCGGGGTCGGAGCAATGTTGGCCTGAAGCAAGTCGTATAGCAAGTAGGTCGAAGCAACAGTTTGCAGTTGGTCAGCGAGCGTCGAGGATTCGGATCGGATCGGTATTGAGATCGGTGCTGAGACTGATCACTCCTTGCATGCAGACCGGGTGAAGGTCAAATAATTATGGACGAAGGATATACGGGCAACGAATGTAGGAGCCAAGGTGAAGTGTCGATCAACACGACAGTATCGGTAACGATCGCATAGGCCAGTGAGTCGACGGCGGCGACGAGCGAAATAGCCGAAAGGGTGAAGAATAGAAGTTGTAAGAATAAGGATGAAGGCGGTCAGAGAGGAGGTGAAGAGGAAGGGAGAGGATGTAGGAAGGAGGTATAGGTAACGGAGACGGGAGGGTGAAGAGGAGAAAGAGGTGAGGTTAGGTTAGGGGGGGTAGAAGTCCAAGGGTAGAGGAAGGAATAGGAGGGAGACAAGTAAGGTTAGGTAACAAGAATAGGAGCAGGGAAGAGCCAGTAGAAGGAGAGAAGAAAGAAGGATAGAAAAGCTCAAGGAAGCGAGAGTGAGAGAGTGAGAGAGAGGAGCACGCACACACGCGCAAGGTGGAAGGGATGGAAGGAGAAGAAGAAAAAAAAAAAAAAGAGGTGAGCAAAGGCGGGAAAGCGGAGTGAGGAGGAGTAGGTAAGGTACAGCGTAAGGTACGTGAGGTACCTACTCCGTATGTGAGGTACGGAAGGAGAGGTAAGGGTAGCAGGAGGGCGAGTGGTGGACTGTGGGAGACCAGGAGAGAGTGGACGGGGGGTTCGTGTAGGCGGTAGATTACCCAAAAAGGTCGAAAGTAGAATTGGCTGCGCTAAGTTTAATGAGACGGGCCAGGGATTACGGCAGGAGAACCCACAGTACGAGAGCCCACCAGTCACCAGAGGGGAGAGAGAGATCAGAGGCCAGAGATGCCAGAGACTAAGAACTAAGAGCCCGGGGGGATGGGTTGGATCATGGACAAGGACAAGGACAGTCTCTTGTCTCGGTCTGCTTCTGCCGTCTTTCCAGCTGGTGCTGGTGATGGTGCTGTTCTCTGCTCCGAGTGTCCAGAAGACCTAATGGCAGCTGACAGTTGCAAGAGATGGGAGTTGAATGGCAGGGGAAGTGAAAAGCTGACTAATAGCATTAGCCCTAAATCTTTCACCCTGACCATCAATGGCCAAGGCCGTTGTCGAAGAGACTGGCCGTGGACCAAAGAGAAGGAAACAAGATGAAAGAGGAGAGTTGCGCAGGGCACCCAGAGGGTAAAGGTGCTCAGTGTTTTGTGAAGTGTGCTATGATTAAACGTCCCATGTCGCCATGTACCTTTGCTTCCTTTCTCTGCCATTCACCCACTGCACGGCTCTGCTGGTACAACATCGATGACTTGGCTCTGCACTGCTTGCGTCTTCTCCTTCCTCTCTTGCGGTGCTCTTTCGTTGGCTCGGCTTTGGCTCTGAGCAGCATCTGGTCCATCCGCCCTCCATCACGAATTCCCCCATGACAGGAACCTGACACTGTCGGTCTGTGGTATCTTCGCCCTGGACAACTGACGTCCCTTTGGCGTATACCTGCGTCTGTATACCTAGTGAGGTGCCTAGGTAATTAATTGATGAACGGCTTGCCGGACCTCCCGTCTTCTGTCTATGGTCTGTCTTTCATTTCCAGGGCAATACAGAGCATCTGCCAAGTGACATTTCCCACGCCAACGGGCCCTTCCCCAGGTGCATAAGACGGCCCCCTTCTTCTCTCGTGTACTTCGCTCTAGAGATTGTACATCAAAGATACTTTTAACGGCGTGATGGCCCCTTCTGGGCGTTATGCACGGTTGCATTTTAGGGGGGAAAGAGCAAAAGGGGGGGCACATGCTGCGATACGGGGGCCAATAAGACGAGTCATCTTAGCTCAAAGTACCTTCTGGTGGTACAGATACTCCATGACCATACTCCGTACCGTACCTGGCGCTCCTGACCTCGCAACACTGACAGTGGGGGACGAGGATGAGCTTGCAGTGAAGTGTCCACTGTCCAGTGCGAGTTCTTGCGGCTTTGGCAGCAACCGGTCGACGCGAGCCCGCCGCATGCCGCACGGGGAGGACAAGATGGGACCGGCTCAGTAAACGAACTCATCGCGGGTTGTCGGTACGTGCCGCTAACAGCATGTTCCTGGCTGATCAGGCCGATCTGCACAATTAATAGAGCCTCTGGCAAGGTACATCCGTACATGGCATGTACATTGCATAAGGCAGGCAAGCAATGGCAAGCAAGTCGTTCCTGGACTCTGGAGAAGTCAGAATAGCCGCAGCTCGCCCCATTTCCCTCCCCTCTGATCTTCAGGGCGGCAACCATCAAACTGAGGCTAACAGCCGTCAAGAGGCAAGACAGGCACGACGGGTAACATGCCACCTTCATCCTGATAGGGGTCTATGCAACTCTACGTTGTAGACTGCTGCAGCAAGCAACACCTCGAAAACTATCTTTACGGATGCCTTAGTACAAGGTAAACTATGGTAGGAACGGAGGCTCTCAGGTGGACCAAATCATTCTCACCAACTCCAATGTCTGACTCTGTATCCGTAGGTACCTACCAGCCTGCCTGTGCCTGAATTGTCTCGATGAACTTGATACTAGTCGAGAATCGAGAGTTGCCAGACTTCGGTAGCTGCAGCCGCCGTTAATTTTAACCAGGTGCGGCGGGTAGGGCCAGCCACAACCACGAGACTTGAGCATCGACCGTCACCGTGGTATTTTGGCGTACGCCAATGCCGCCGGTCCAACTTGTCGAATCATGGACGGAAGCACGGGGGCTACCACCTACCTTAGCCTTTGCACAGTACCATTAGGTCCTACGATACCGCTTGGTGACGGCCAAGGCTCAAGGGAACCAACGAACGAAACATGCTCACGCTCCTACTCCCTCGCTCGCTCGCTGGTTCACACTCTTGGAGCAAGACAAGACAGAGTTGTATCGGCTCAGCTATGACTGGTACGAGCTACCGTGCCAGTCTCGTCTTGGCTGGTCAAGTTGATATTGCGAACGCTGCCAAACGATGGGACAGCAATGGATATTCGCATCATACGGATAATCAACCACCTTTTCCATCTGACCATCAACACTTGTTCCCAACAGACCAGCCAACCGCCAGTCCGAATACATCTCCATACACCCGTTCTCCGCCCACCCGTCCGTTGTCACCAGCCATACGACGCCTCGATTTCTTAGTCTTGCTTATTATCCACATGAATAGCTTTCATCCCCCCCCTGTTTGGTCCCCTTTTTGGTCCCCCTTCCTTCGGATTGCCCCTCGGTTTGGTCCCCCATTTTCGATGCTCGGAGTCGGAGGCAAGCCGCAACCAGAGCCTTGTGAGTTGTCTCCGTTAAACAGTCGAACTGAACACTGGCCTGGAGCAGAGTCACGCTGGCTTGAGCTCTGGCCGTAGTCTCTTGGTTTGGAACCTGGGCAAACAAACGGGCATTCCACCAAACCTTGCTCTAAAAACAGAGCTGATCTCATTCGAATGTTGCCATTTGTATCCGGACCTCGTACTGTCCTGGAACAATACCGTGAGCTTCCGATCTGGACGGAGATTTTGTGCTATTGCACAGCCAAGATGCGGATATTGCATTCCAACCATATGGGGGGGCCCTTTCTTTGCGCAGATTCCCGACCCCTGCTCATACTACATGGCGAGGTACTCTCTTTCCCCTGGCCTAACCGAAGACACCGCGCCGCACCCGACATGGCACTTTGATACGGTACTTTAATGGTACATTGCCGTGAAGCTCCTCGCTCCGTGCGGGTGGCCCCCTGGAACATGGACCTTCCTGTCCCCCTCAACCTGGCCCCTTCCAGCCTCCCATCCCTACCTTTCCCCTTGCCTCCACCTGGCCGACAAGCATAGCCAGGGGAAGGCACCACCTCTTCTGGCTTGGTCTGTCCTCTTCTGAACAGCCTCCCCGATCCATCCTCCAAGCCTCCAAGGGTGGTTCATCTTGCTCTCTCTCTCTCTCCACCCCAAGCCGATGGATCATGGAACTGACAGCCGCCTTTGCCACCAGCAGCAGCAGCAGCAGCCAGAGTTCACTATTCGCTATTCAGAACATCTGGCAGACTGGCTCACGTTGCTCCACCCCTTTTTTTGCGTTCCGTTGCTGGGGTCGTGGCCAGGAGGTACCTGCACACTACATGACTACCTCCTTACGCAGCGCGAGCATGTATTCTTAGCCTCGCCGTTTTGCACTCTGCTGCTGGCTCGGCAGGCTTCGTACCCCAATGCTACAATAATGCCACAGAAAGGTGGCGTTCTGTACTCTCTAGCCCTCTAAGACTCTCCGAATTAACAGAGGGCAGGTACGGATAGTAAATCATCCATCACGGCCTCAGACAGTTGCCTCCAGATTTACCGACAATGGTGCTCTTCAGCTGATACGACGCCCTGCATTCTGTATATGGACAAAAGGTACGGATACAAGACGCACATCTAACAGTAAGGTATGCGACTTCCTGGAGTGGGAGGCATCCGGCTGCGCGGCATGCTGTCCAGCTGTCGTTCGTTTTTTCGCTCGTTCGGATTCCCCATATTGGATGCGTCCCCCTCGCCCAAGCCGCCCCCCATAGGCTCTGTCTTGCATCGACTCCGATGAAGAATTGAAATTGCATCAGCTGCATCTCATCCACCACACTCTTGGACTTTCGCCTTGCCCATCACGCTTTCGGTTCTCCATTCCTGACGAGGCTCGCATAGCATTATCCGACTCCACATTACATATTGTCAAATATCGTCGATGATGTGCCAGACCTAGCTTTGCTTTACGGATACACTATGGATACAGTCTACTAATCACACGCAGGGCCTGCTTCCCCACGGTACGACAGGTTTCGCAGACTAAAGTAGAGCCTCCAACTACGGACACTTTTCGCTGTACCTTGCACAAGTGGTAGCTAGTGGCTTTGCACTATGCAAGGAACACCATTCATCGGCTCTGATCCGTACGGATACTCTGAACGGACACTTCTAATGTGATACAACGTGGCACATGAATACGGATCGCCAGCGGCTTTGTCGTCGGAATAGCCTCCTTCTTCGACCTGGCAGCCGCTTTTACTCCTTGCAGTTGTGGTTGCTGCATCCGTGTTCAAATATCGAAACCCCTAGCCTCCACATCTCCAGCTATTCGGATGAAACGCGGCTGCAAGGAGCCTTCAAACTTGTCAACCAGCCTGGGCCTGTCTCTTGTGGCTTAACTTCTCGATTGTATCCGGAATCCGAGGCCAACCTGGCCTAGGCTAGCAATGAGAGAAACAACAGGCAAAGTCAAGTTTGAATACGCGATACGGATACAAACCTCGAAACTGCTTGGCACCAAGCATTGCCATGGGGCAGTCGAGCACCACATATTTTGGCTGGCGACAACGGCACACGATCGCCATCTCTGACCGTTCGAAGAACTTCCGAGCTCACCGTCAATGATGCGTTTTATCTTTGACCTACCTCGCCTACGGAGTCCAAATCGTCACGGCTGCAAAACCTCGCCCTCGGGATCAGCCCGAACCATAATTCTACTTTCCGTCTGAATCGTCGCAATCTTCAATAAACTCTGTCGGCGGTACATACACAACTTTTATCGATGTTGCCTCGCCCTTTCCAAACACAGGCTTACGTTCCACGCCTCGTTCATTGGACCGCCCTTGAAGCAAGGAAAGACGAAAGAAGTAAGAAAGGTCTGCCGCTCAGTGCTCTGCCTTACTATGTACATAGCCGCGATGTGTATCCGTACGAAGTACTGCATGGCACCAAGGCAGCTCATTGCCGCCGGTCCAGAAACCCGAGTACAACGGTCTGACCCCTAGATGGAAGTTTGAGCCGGCAGCCAGCTGCAAGTAGGATCCGCAGCGCCGTGTTAGATCCGCCTTGCATCAAGTCATTCCTGGTCCATTTAATTCTGACATCGGATCATCGACAGACCACGCAACTGTCCATCTCACCTGTGTCCTGTGGGCCGTCAACGATTCCCTGATCTACATTATTCCGAAAAGACATTACTGTCTACGGATACGCGCCTCGTCTTTGGAACGTTAGAACGGGGCATGATTCAAAACTGTCCTCGAGTCAAGAGTATGGGCGCCGATCGCAGCATCATTATTCAATATTCAGCAGCGTCGAGCTGATTGGTGCCATGGTCCGGGATACGCCCAAGAAGCTCTCCGTCAGCAGCAGTGGCTGCTGCGGTGTCTGCAATGCCTGAGTTTTAAGCTTCGCAATTAGCCTCTCTGAATGCTACGCTATAGGCCTCCTTTCTCGACCAACTAGTCATGTCTACGCAACCAACCAATACTGACAACCCCAAGTTGGGCCAGAGTTTCAACCAAAAGCGCCTGTTTGCCTATTGTTTACAAGAACTGACTGGGCTATTGTTCAGCCAGTATCTCCTTGAACCACGGTTCTCCAGTCGGTGTCCACATTTCGATTCCTTCATTTGCTGTTAATGTTGCTGGCCATCACCTGAACTGAACACATACACTACATACCTCGGGGCGATCGCCAGAGACGTCAATGCGTACGCGATCTGCCGTATTCGTCTGCGGATGCAACGATATATTGATGTTTCCAATTTTCCATGTACGACGGTTGAGCCGCCGCTTGAGGTTAACTCGCTTGTCGGACGGGTTCGATACTTGGGCGTCAGACGTTCCAGAAAGGTAAAGAAGTCTTCTTGGATATTCAAGCTCTAGGACCTCTGATGTAGGACAGGTGAGTAGGGAGATGCGCAAGATGATTGAGGTGTCCGATTGGGCCACTTACACCTCTCTTCACGGTCAACGCTCAGCTCTCAGCACGCCCCTATCTGCACAGACATGATCTGAATACAGAAGACAGCCTGTACCACTCGTCGCCGCCCACATTCCTTTTGAGATGGGATTGCATTGAGATCTTCTAGAAGGAGGTCTGATGTGGGTGGCTTCAAACGCAAGATCGGCCGAGCAAGCATGAGCTGCAAAGCGCTTTGACCATGTTCGGACTCGAGGCGCGCACGTTTGACGAACACGGATCATGGAGCCCACCCAGTCCTCGACCATTGCGGCGCACCATCCCGTTCGGAGCCGGGCCTCGGTCTGGCAACGATTCAAGACTCTTACACGTCGACGTTGGGTGCAGGGAGGGGGAGAGGGACGAGGGGGGGTTTGTCTCTGACACTCCTACCGGCAGTTCGTGTTAGGTTCGGCCCAAACACTCTGTCTCACGACTTTGGCTTCGACTTTGACAGCTTCTTTTCATCCTCCCATCTCGTGGAGGGCATGGATCCCTAGGAGAAGGGTTATGCTGTCGTCGTCGGCCAGAAGACGCGATTTGCTGGTGACTGGACCGTCCGTTGACCGGCCGAGAATAAACGCAAAGCAACACAGCCGAGGTGGATGTCTCCCCCATTGGAAGGCTGCAAAACATCTCATCGCACACTCTTTCCTCTTGAGTCACTTGTGTTTGATAGCTCAAATCGTTTTGCTGTCTTTCTCACTGGAGTTGAGCGCTCCGATGGAGATTGGTTGTGATATTCCGTAAACTCCTATCTAGCCCACCGACACCGTCTCTTGGTACCCTTTGCAGCAAATCGCTGTCAAAAAACCATTGCAAAGCCCCCGTCGAAATCCTGAGTGATCTCGCTCATGCCTCTGCCGCAACGCTTTTCAAAGCACGCCGGGTTGTATTTTTCTTCCCCTGTCGCACTCCTCTTTCTCTCTCCCGTGTCTCTCTATCTTTCTTCTTCAACATCGAACCTTACACTCTGGCCAATCCTCTAAGGCTTGCAGCGTCCCATGTAGCGGGGGTACAAGCATGTCGTACGGACGGTGTGCTGGTTGGCCAACCAGGCCAGGAAACGCTCGAGGCCGAGACCGTAGCCGCCGTGGGGAGAGGTGCCGTACCTGAAGAAGTGTTGTCAGCATTTTCCTCCAATTTGGGTTATCAAACAGCTTCAAGAGGGTTCAAAACTCACTTTCTCTGGTCAGTGTACCAGTAGTAGTCCTTTGACGGAATTCCCTCTCTGTCGTAGGCGGCGAGGAGCTCATCGTAGCCCTCCATTCTCATCGATCCACCAACAATCTCTCCGACGCCGGGCATCAGGCAGTCGACGCTCTCGGTGACGCGCGGGTCGTTGGGGTCCTTCTTCATGTAGAAGGCCTTGATCTCGGTGGGGAAGTGGGTGAGGAAGATGGGCTTGTTGATGATGTCGGTCATCCTGCGCTCGGCGGCCTCAGCAATGTCGTCGCCAAACTTGTGGGTCTCGCCGTCCTCGTTGAGGATGGGGGGGTCTTGGGCGTTGAGCCAGTCAATGGCGTCAGTGTACTTCATGCGCAAGAAGGGGCGGACGGGCTTCTTGAAGTCGGGGTTAAGCTCCTTGACGTATGCGGCGATCTCCTCATCGGCGAGGACGTTGTCGATGACGCGGCACATGACCTCCTCGAGATGGGCAAGCAGATCAGGGAACTCGATGAAGTCGAGCTCCGCCTCGACGTGGGTGTACTCGGACAAGTGTCTACGGGTCAAGCTGCGCTCGGCGCGGAAGGACTTTTCGATGCAGTAGACGCTGCCCAAGCTGGGGAGGACGGTCTCGAGGTACAGCTGGGAGGACTGGGTGAGGTAGGCAGCCTCGTCGTAGTAGGGAACGGAGAAAAGTGTGGAACCGCCCTCGACCTGGGTCTGGACCAGAGCTGGGGGAGAGACCTTTGTCATCTTGAGGTCCTTGTAGGTCTTGGTGAAGGCCCACTCGACGGCGGCGCGGATCTTCATGATGGCGGACGCGTTGTCGCCGCGGAGAACCAAGTGGCGGCTGTCCAGCATCTGGGAGTCCCACTGGTTCTGCAGCAGCGAGACCTTGTTGGTGATGGCATCCTCGTCCGAGGGCGAAGTGCCAATGACCTTGTAGTAGTCGACGTGGAGTTCACGGTTATCCGGGGCCGTCTGTCCCTCGGGGACCTTCTTCAGCTCACCGTAGACCCAGAGGGAGGTTCCCTGAGCAAAGGTGAGGGCGTCGTACGTCTTTGTGAGGTCGCCGGCCTGGAGCACGCACTGCAGGTGTCCGTAGCCGTCGACGAGGGTGATGAAGGTGGCCTGCTTCTGGGCGCGCAGCCTGTGGATGCGGCCGGCAATCTTGACGCGGTCGCCCTTCTTATCGCCCTCGCCCAGCACGACGGTCTTGTCGGCGATGGTGATGCGCTTCGCGGCGGGCAGGGACTCATCCTCCTTGATGACGATCTGCTTGGCGGCCTCGAGGGCCTGCTGGCGGGCCTTCTTCTGCTCCTCCTCCTTGGCCTCGATCTGGGCCTGCTTGACGAGCTTCTTGCGGTGGGCGTCGAGGGCGGACTGGGCCTTTTTCACGGCGCTCTTTGCGGGCTCCTTCCACTCGAGGCGGGCGGCCTCGTCGTCGCCCGTCTTGGAGGCGCGGGTGAGAAACTGGCGCGAGGTGAAGTTCTCGTTGTTGGCGATGTAGGCGGCGGCGAGGGACTTGAAGGGGGAGGACTCGGTGCCCTGGGTCGAGGGCTCGTCGGCGCCGGCGTCGGTGTCGACGTAGACCTTGTCCTCCGTCTTGGGACGCTCGGCCAACTCCTGAGGGGCGGCCATGGTTTGTGGTCGGTTGAGTTTCTAGAGGATGAGTAGAGTTGCGTCCGTCGACTGTTGACTCTCAAAGCTGGTTTTTTGTGTACAGTCGAGGTTTTGGGAAATTTTTGGGACGGTTTCTGGATGGCGGGGTAAATTATTCGGATTGAGTTGGTGGGAGGGAGGGGAGGAGGGGTCCCGGAAAATGCAGGCGGGAGGGAGATGGTGACCTGGTCTGATGTACACTACAGCGTTGGGTATCTTTTTTTTTTTTGTGTGACTGTGCTGCGTGAGTCACTTGCAACTGGAAAGCCAGGAACAATTGGAACAGGGAAAATAACCAGGAATTGGTATTACAGAAGAGAGAAAGTATTACAATTGGGCTCAGTCAAATGATGAAACCTTTTTTATTTAACACAGACTATCCGTACCTGACCTGACGTGCTGCTCGAAGCTGTGTGAGTCACCTCTGTTGGCTTCCAGTGTCTGGGGTTTGTTACAGTGCAATATACCTCGACCCCCTTGATACCGTTGCTCCCTAAGGTCACCGCCCGGCGCCCGGTGGTGGAGGGGCACCGAGTGCTGTTCAAAAGACGTTGCGTGGTTACCTTTCCAAAAATCAATTGAGCGTTGTAATTGCTCAGAGATAAGGGAGCTCGGGCCTTACCTTACGGGGGCCCTCTTTCTCTTAATTATGAGCCCGCCCGTTTAGCATTTGCTGAGGGTTGGGTTCCGAATATAGGCGGGTGCGTATCCGTATCTATGTCTGCTGGGCCCCCTTGACTCGAGCGTCTAATGACGGGCATGACAAAGCGACGGTGAGGCGGTTTGCGTACTTACCTTGGGTTGGCGGTGAGGATGCTGGGAAACTGAACAACCTTTTTGTTTGGATCAAGGGCAGAGGGTGTACTCCGTAGGATAAAAGCTGTCCTTCTACGTGGTACATTACTTCTCCGTAGGCAAGACCCGGATTACACGCAAATGTTGTACGTTGAGGGTCATTACCTACCTACTGGGGCTATGAGAGAAGTTCGGGAAAAGGGAAAGATGTTATGAAGCTTGAGAATGCTCTTCGCAGACGAGTAGTCTCTGGAGGGTCGTAGCTGATGCCATCTCATTATGTTCATAGCCAATGACTTTTATCCATTTCATTTTCTCATTCTCATCGTTCTTCGTGTGAAGATGTTTTACGTGACAAATCGCCCTGAGATACCCAGCGATTGATGGAGGTTGTGATCACCTGCCATCTTGAGTCCATAACATCCAACTTCGAGCTTCGCTTCGCCCACGCCGTTACGGTGAACATACCAGATTCCGTCAATCCCTTCTGTCATCCCACTTCTCCTCCTGGCTCGCGGAGGCATGCATTCTGCATCTTACCATCGAGCGAACCTCCTTTCATCAAATGCCAGGCTTCATCCCATCCGAACCAACCCAACTTTACAACTCATCCTTCTCATCAACAACAGCAGCGGCAGCCTTACCCTCCTTCCCCATCCCCTCAAGACCCTTCTTCACCATCGAGCTCAGAACCTCATACACAACCTGCGCCGCCGCCAACGCAGTCTCCTCCCCAGCATTCTGATACGCAGGGCTCACCTCCACAACATCAGCACCAACAAGGTTCAACCCCTCGATCCCTCTCAGAATCCGAATCAGCTCGCGCGTCGTCCAGCCACCGGGCTCAGGCGTGCCCGTCCCGGGCGCGAACGCCGGGTCCAGCACGTCAATGTCGATGGACAGGTACACCGGGTCCTCGGTGCCCAGCGTCTCCATGATGGACTTAACGATGCCCGCCGTGCCAATCTCGTCAATGTCGTCGGCGGCGATGCGTACCCAGTTCTGCGCCGTGTCGTCTTCGTGGTCGGCAAAGTCGGTGCCGGAGAGGCGGGTGCGAAGGCCTGCGTGGACCGAGGGCTGGCTCGAGGCGTTGGAGAGGAGGCCTTCGTTGCCGGCCATCCAGAACATGGAGCCGTGGTTGAATTGCGTTGCGGTCCAGTAGGAGGGGTACTTTGCCGGGTGCCAGGTGTCCAAGTGAGCTGTATTTCGCGATATGTGTCAGCCAAGTTACGCCGTCTCAAGCATCCGTGATCCCATTCTTCCACTCCCTCCCTCACTTTTGCCACTTCCCTCACGACACAAACCCAGACCTCCCCAGAAAGGAGACACATAAAAACTCACCATCAAAATGCAACACTCTCAACGGCGCCCCGTACGCCTCCCTCAGCGCCCTCAGCGCGGGAAGCGCGAGACTGTGGTCGCCGCCGAGGGTGATGAGCTTCGGCCTGCTCAGCGAGCTCGACACGGGCCTCCGCTGCCCGAGCTCCTTGAAGGCGGCCGACATCTGCTCCACGGCGACGACGTTGTCCATGGGCGTGACGGGTATGTCACCGCAGTCGAGGATCGTGGCCCAGTTGGCGTACGGGTTGATGCTCGCGCGCGGGTTGAAGCCGCGGAAGGACGTCTGTCTGCTCGAGGCCTGGCGGATGGCGCGGGGGCCGAAGCGGGCGCCTGTGGGACTTGTCAGTATGGACAATATCCTTGAATATTGAAAAGAAGGAGCCCGTGGATAGAGTCGGAGTGGTTGTGCGGTGTGAAATGTGCCGTTGCGGGATGAAAGAAAGGTGGGTGGTTTCCTGCTCACCTGGCCTATAACTAACAGCCGTATCAAACGGCGCGCCGATGATGGCGATATCGTACAACTCGGACGGCGTCGTCAGGCACTTTACATGCTTGAGATGAGCGAAAGAGCCGATGCCCGTGAATCCTAAAACGTCTCGTGAGCCCCCAAACGTCTCGTCACGCACCCATTCGCTCTCTAGTGGCTTTTACTAACCCCACTGAACAGTGATCAGTTAGCCCCGTTTCTCATCTCATCACCATCATCAAGCAAGTCAACAACTGCGTCGACATCCGACTTACCTCGAAACCCCATTTCGCTTCCAACTCATCCAGCTCAGCCTTGGTCCACTCCTTGTCGTCGCCGTGGTTGCCGCACGCGGCGGCCAGCAGGGCCGACGAGCAGCCCAGCAGCAGAGACGTCAACTTCATGACGGTATGTTGTTGTGTGTCTGTTCCGTTTCAAGGTCTTCTTGTGATGTTCCTGTACGGACTCGTTGTGAGTCACAAAGCCAAATGTTTCGTGAAGAGGGCTGTCGGGTGTGACAGGGGAGCAAAAGAATAAGGAATCTCAAATTGCAGAGAGAGTCTATCGGAAAAGGTAGGGATAAGTCTAAATTAGAAGGAAACCGGGCCCAAGGTATATCGGGGACCGGAAGCGTCAAGAACGGGGACACACCTCGACCGGGCCGGCGCGGGCTTGACGTGCGCGACGCCCTTGTGGTTGTCGAAATCCAAAAGGCTAGACCGACACTCGCTCCACGTGTATTCGGGGGGGGATCTTCTAGTTACAACGATCCGCCCATTGTGCACTCATAATTGGCCAATGGTAATACACATGCCATGTTTTCCCTCCCCAGGTTATGAGCTTACTTTACGTACAATTACATGGTGGGCATGGTATCAGCGCCCGGAACTGTCACTAATACTAGGCATTGTATTCGATTCCAGCGGAGAACGTCCGGCGGGGAGGGGAATAGTTAGAGGGGGGGGACGCGGTAGGATGTGGGGTTCAAAAGCTGTCGATAACGGTATCAATCGTCCGAAGAGTGAAGACCCCGCCGATGCCGGTAGACTGAGTACTATGTAAGGAAATAAATTGTCAACGAATGCATTAGACTAAAGGCAATGCTTGGATGCGGCGCGCCGGCTCTCTCCAGGATGCTGGCAGTAGGGTAGACCGTAGGAGGGGGTTTGTATGGCGGGCAATGCGGGGTTCGCATGGCCGCCGGCGCCGTGGAGCAAGTGAGTCCCGGATATGTAACTATACAGTATTCGATCTCCTCCCGGAAAGTGGAGTTCCCCGTTAAGATGGCACGCTGATGTGAGGTGGACACACTGAGAAAAAACGTCCAATCGCAAAAGTGCGATATTGGGGTGCCGTTTATCCATCATCGTCAGCGTCCCAATTTGTAGTCCGTGGACGAAGGGGGGGCTCTGCGGGCTGCGAGCTACAGAGGTCCCTGAGCCGTACGCTCATAGAACCTATATACAAAAGCGACTCTCCCCCAAGCAACAACTCCCCAGATCTCTCGAATCCTGAACCACAACCCGCATCTTCCATTATTCCTCTTAGAGCCCCCCTCCCCCCTGGTCTACTTACTTAAACGTCCTTCGCCCTTTCCATCCCACCCAAGTCCCCCCCCAGGTTCCCCAGGGAAACCCCATGAACGCCCTCGTAGCGTTCGCAACGCGTCTCGAACATAGCCTCCGTCACGGTTGCGGCAAACTGCTACCTAGGCGTGCTAGCACTGCTAGGTAACGTCTGATACGCTGGCACGCTGCTGGTGCTGGTACGCAGAAACTTGGAAGGAAATGGATGAATGGGGGTGTGTGTGGCTTCGGAGGCGGGTAAGACAGGAAACGCCTCCTCCTGCCTCTGTCTCTGCCTCTGTCTCTCCGTCTCTCTTTCTCGCTCTCTCCACCAATGTCGCAATGTAACTGTTCGCTCCGTCTGTCTTCATAGAAAAAGAGGCACAGGAGAAAGAGGCCCGGGAGTCCCCGGACGTGAGCGTTGTGAAAACCCGTTGGGCCGTTGGGGAACAGAACGGCACCATTTTTAAGTTCCTTAACAGCATCTGTCTCGCATTGATGACCGATTCGATCGGATGGACGACGGCGCGCCGAGGCTGCGACGTCATTCTTTTATGCAGTTCCTCCCCCATACCCTTCCCCCTCCCTACTACCAACTGTAGTCATCCCCCAGACCCTTTCCACCACTGTTGCCCAAAGGGGTCGGGCGGACACACGCTCTCAGGCAGGTGAGGGGTCGTTGGTGGTCTTTGCGCTAGGTAGCCATCGCGCCGCCGCCGCAATGAAAAAGAAAAAAAGTCAAGTAGAGTTTAAAAGAGGGCGCAGCTGGACTCGAAAGAACGTTCCAACGATAAGATTGGCAACGTCCAGGCATCCTACCTGGGAAAGTCCTGGGCAGACGGAACGAACGTAGGGCAGCTCAACTAGCCCATAATTGAGCATGCTTTTCGAACAAAAGCTACTGCCCACCGTCCATTACTTGCCGCTTCCAACATGCCATCTATGCCCCGCAACGTGCTGAAGATAAAAAAGATGTGAGTGAACGGATGGCGTGTACCGAGGCGGGCAGCAAGCGGGAATGACTCGCCTTGTCGATCCGATGTTGGAGGCTCTGTTCCGCCCACGCATGTTAAACATCAATAGTCAGTGGGTGATGATCCCCACGAGGCCATGCCCTCCAGTTGATCGGTGCTCGCTCCGCGCGGGCTATGGTTGTGGAAGGGGGTCGCGTACAGACACTTTGGGGGTTCAGTGCGAAGAAAAAAAAGACCATCGATTTAAAGTGCACTCCAATCGCCAAACTGTCCTATCGAAGTATTCCTGCCTGCGTGATGAATTTACCCATCCCTAAATGTAGAAAGAAGCAAGAAAGACCACCAAGATCCGGGCCAAAGCAAGACGTAATGGGGATGCGAGAGGGATGAGGGGCTGAATTTGGTAAGAGGGTGATGGGATGAGGAAGAACTTTGGGAATTGGTGAACATAATATGGAAGGGGGGAAACACAGCCCGTCGACTTGCCCATTCGTCCTCCTCGCAGTCCCCAGTCAAGATATGCCTAGAAGCCCGGACCGCCGTGGCCAGATGATCCAATCCAAACCCTCATTGTCGCTGAACCAGGAAGTCCAATCCATTAATTCGCGAGGAACGACCGTCCCTGATCGGTCCAAAGCCGTGGTTGATCAAGACCTAGCGTGTCCAATGCCATGCGCGCTGCAAAAAAAGGTCCAAAATGCCGTTCGAAGATGGAAACCCAGAACCGTTTGCGCGCGCATCTGGATGGCAAGAGAAAATGTCCAAGCCTGGTTCTCGGCTTTTCCGCTCGCCGCCAGAGCCAGAACTGGGTAGGCATGGCGGGAGGAAAGCAAGACCCATGCGTCAAGGGGTCCCACGATCAAAGCACAAGACACTTGTGTGACTTCTTCTTCGGGGCAGGAGGCTCCAGAGCCGCAACAATTGCCTGAGGTAGCATGTCAGTATCAGATCTAGGGCTGATATAGAGGCAAGTGGAGGAGGAGAAGAGTGGAAAAAGTAGGTCCAACGGAAAATGCGGATATTGCATACCTCATCGAAGACGTCCTTCAGCTTGTACTGCGTCAGAGCACTGCACTCGACGTACTTGACCGCACCCAAATCCTTCGCCATCCGCTCACCATCCTCTTTCCGTACCGGAGACATCTTCTGCTTAGAAAGCTTCTCGCGGACGCTGGGGTCCTCGCGCAGATCGACCTGGGTGCCGACGATAAGGCAAGGGACGCCGGGGCAGTGGTGATGTACCTCGGGGAACCACTTCTCGCGGACGTTCTCGAAGGAGGCGGGTGATGTGACGCTGAAGCAGACGAGGAAGACGTCGGTCTGGGGATAGGAAAGGGGGCGGAGTCTGTCGTAATCTTCCTGACCGGCGGTATCGAACAGTCCCAGTGTGTAAGGCTCGTCACCGATCCTGCGTAAGAGAAAAATCCAGCATCAGCGAAATGGCCTACCGAAAAGTCCAGCAACTTCTCGTCTCTCGCAGCACATTTTCTCCCCGAATCCCCATTGTTATTGATTCATCCATTCGTCGGTTTATCCGCCCCTTGACCATCTCTTGGAAAGACCTCCTTGCCTTTGCTTTGTGCAACCCGGACTTCGATTGTTTAGGAGGTGTTGCAGGAGAGGACTCACATAACGGTGACGGCATAGTTATCGAAGACGGTCGGAACGTATTCGGAGGGGAATTTGTTCGTCGTGTAGCTGATGAGAAGACATGTCTTTCCGACCGCACCGTCGCCGACGACAACACACCTAGAAGAGGAGAGAATCAGTTCTGACGCAAACAAAAGTGGCTAGTGACATGCGTGCTTTGATGGCTGCCATTTGCCGATCGTCAAGTTGAAGTCAGGATTGGCAACGGTGAAGGAAAGCCTCCTCCAAGCCCCAAGTGATGGGTAGCAGTGGAATCCGACAGCAACAGCGACACTGCAAACAGGGCAATAGCAGGCAAGCGAAACAGTAGGAAGGGCGACGACAAGTGTCAGTTGTCAAGTGTCGGGAAGGGGGAAAGTGAGAAAATGAAGCCTAGAGAAAAGAGGCTCAAATTGTACGCACTTGATAGTAGCGACGACCATTGTCTAGATCAATGATGTTCCTGTGCAGGAACAGAGACCTGTGGAAAGAAAAATTAAGACCGGTCTCTCAGTCTCTCCCTTATCGCGCGGCGCGTCGTGTCGTGTCGAGTGTCTTGTCTTGTCGAGGTCGGGGTCGGAGTCGGAGTCGGGTGTGATTTCCAGGCGCAGGTAGTTGGGGGTTAGAGTGGCAGCGGGCAGGAGGAGTCGAGTAAAGTGTGGTGGTAGTAGCCCAGTGGTACGGAGTAGTAGTAAGGCAGGCAGGTAGGTAGTGGCAGTGGTGGTTGCCGTTGCTGCAGGGCGGAAAGATGAGGTGGGTAGTGGAGACGGAGAACGGGGTCGAGGTCGAAATGGGGGGGGGGGGGCGGCGACGAAGGGGAAGAAAAGGCGTGGATTGGGTTGGGTGCCGGTGTGGTGGTTTTTTTTTTTTCTCTCTTCGGTGCAGGTGGTGGTAAAAAGGTGAAGGAAGGAGCAAGGCAAGGGACAAGGTGACAAGGCAACGGCGAGGTAAAAAAGAGTAAGGCGAGGAAGGATAACGGGGTAAGGTAGGGAAGGAGCGAGTGAGAGAAGGAGGCGACGACGACGACGGGACGGGACCCAACCAAGGTAAAGCCGCAAGGTCAAGGACGTCTGGGAGGTCACAAGTGAGATGTCGTCGGGGATTTTTTTATTTTGTTTTAGCAAGGTAGCGATGGCGTCGGCGGTGGTCTCGACACACGCTGCAGCGGTGCAGCAGCGGTAGAGCACACGCGGGAAAGTGGAACACCTCACCAGACGGGAGGGAATAGAAGGGGGAGGATGGGGTCGGGTAGTAGCAGATTCGACCTTGCGTTAAGGAGGGGTTTGATTTTTTAAAAGTCCTTGTTTTTCTTCTTTCTTTCTTTTTTTGAGTCGAATGAGGAGAGTAGCTGGTCGGGAGAAGAGCGAAGGGGGGAACAAGCAAATAAGAAGGATAAAATGATTCAAAAGACGGGTGGAATTGACGAGTGTCAGTTGGTGTCAGTGTCAAGGCAAGGCAATGGAAGGCTGCAGGAAGAGAACCTTGCACACACCAGTGGCACTACACGTAAGGTAAGATGCAGAGAGACAGGACAGAGAGAGGTGTATGAGGCGTAGCAAGGTTAGTGTACGGAGTAGTTTACTCAGGCATTGTACTAATGTCTCGACACTCTCAGGATGAAGATAGGTAATAAGTATCATATAGTCCTCATGTTGTTGTTCCTGAAGACAGCATTTGTCCTGAGATGCTTCGGCCAACTATCCATCCGGCGACACCCACACCCACAAGTACCTACCTTTAGGTACCTTATTACTCCCAAGTCTTCTTTGGGGCTGATGAATGGAAGGATGAACAAAGACATGGCAGTTGACAGCAAAAAACTTTAGCCACAGGGCAAGTGTAAAGGGATGTAGCTGCAGCAGATACAGGAACGGTCCCTTCCACCCTTCCTAATAAGCTCGGGTACCTCAGGTCTCCCAGGCCTTGAGTAGAGACGTAAACTCCGAGGTACTTTACAGCCACAGAGAAGCATCCTCATAGATACCTGCCGCTATTCAAATCAGTTCGGAATGCCTCACGAGGGTAGGAAGCCTCCAATGAGTGACAGGGTCATGAAAAGGAGAGAAAGAAAGGGGGGTCCCTCATCTCTAATCAATGGGCAGTGGAAAAGCAAGCAACACCAAAGTCTCTCGTCTCATCTTTTGCTCCTCGAAATGACTTGCAAGTGCCTCGTACCTCGTGCCCTGTGCCTGGATGTGAGGGTGAGCAAGACTGGGGGCGGGTAGAGATTGGAGAGTGCCCATGTCAGAAAGGGTCTTCCAAGTCTCCGGTCTATTCACCACCACAAGTGAACAACCGCCGCCGTCGCCTCCTCTTCTTCCTGCTCCCACTTCAACGTTGAAGTGTTAATTCGGTGTTTGCAAGGCTGCTCTTAGCAATGATTGGAGTTGGACGGGGTGGTTACTGTTCCAGAGGGATGGATGGCGCCTGATCGGTTGGCGTTGGGGTGCTTGAGATAGCCTGGTGCAGTGCTAGCTGGAGGACATGGCCTAACCCGGAAGGTCAAGAACGTCCAGCCATGTTGCCTTGGTCGTTGGATTGTGCGGAAAGCAAGAGTGCTTCCGTAGCCCGTAAGGTAAAAGTACTGGCAGGCACCAAGGTATCGAACAACCCAGGGCAGGCCGCAGGTCGCAGACGTGGGTGGGTTGATGCTGCTGCTGGGCTGGATTCTGGAACGAATAGCCTGGTCGGGGGTGAACGGGGCATCTTCACCCATCTTCCACCTTGCCGGCTTTCCTTTAATTTGTTCGACGCTCACCTCAACTTCCAGGGGTTACGTAGCCAGCGTCGGTGCCATGCCCTGGTCTGCTCATCTCAGTCCCAAGTGCCATTCCTCCCTCTTGTCCTTTCCGCTAATATCAGAAGGGAATGAGATGCGGTATACGGACGGGAGCGCAAGCAGCCACCCTTTTGTCGTCAATTCGTATCAAGGAGGCACCAAGCCAGCCCCTCAGGCGCTTGCTTACCTTTGATACCGAGAGGTGCGTTTGTTGGTGCCATTGCCGATGTTGCCCGGTACAGCGTAGTCCTGCCACCCCTCCACACCAAGAACCGGCCCAACGCTCTCCAGCAACTGCCAACAAAGCTACGGTCTCCCCAAGCGGACCTAGGTAAGGTGGTAAGGTGGGCGCGCGGCCACGATGTTGATGAGTTGGACAAAAGTCTTGGAATTCTCGGCTTGATGGTTCCGTCTGGCTCGGGGTTGGGTGCGCGGGGCATTCGTAGCTTGCTCCTCGTCTTGATCCTTCACCGCCCTCACCGACCACTTTTTTACCCCTAAATAGTGGATCGTCCCCCGTCTTTGAAAGAGCGGCATCCGCTGGCTTGGGTTGAGCTGAGTAGATCTTGGACCGGCTTCGACTCCAGCAGCAATGGCGTTGCACTTTGCGACTGTTATGGTAGCCAAAAGACCAAAGCCGCAAGGTGTCGGATGGCGAGGCGGTGCCAGTTGTCAGCAGAAGTTGTTTGTGCTTGGAGTGCCAAGTGGTGCTGCGTCTAGTGTACCCGAAGCGTCGCGGCTTTGTCAGTCCTACTCCTCCTGGTGGTGAGGTGAGGAAAGGTATCCGTACCTTACCTTGAGAAACCCTCGTCACTGCGCAAATTGGGCGGAGGACCTTTGGGTCTGAGGCGTTGGAATCCCGTCCCCGCACCATTCTCACGTCGCAAAATGCATGTGCTCTTGCCTCTATACGTAACTGCGTACCTAGTAAGAGGTCACCCCACACAACCAATCACCTAATTCGGCCACTTTTTAAAACGATAGATTCAAAACTTTATTGTTTTAAATTTATAGTTAGGAATATAATACTATTAAATCTATAATTCTAAATATATATTAATAAATTAATTAATTAACTAACTCTTATAGTACTAATCAAATATAAGTTTTAGAATTTTGGTGAATATTCTAAGTGATAATAATACCATTAATATAGTTGTAAAGTATTATATAGGATATTTTTAATTAATAAAGACTTTTCAAATTAATTTATTATTTAAAATATTATTAATTACGTTTTTATAGTTATAGAATTTTATATAATTAATTATTACAAATCTGATAATAGTTTTAAAACAACATTTACAATTTTTTTTAATTAATTGATATATATTATATAAAAGTAGTGGTAGTATTAAAGGAGAAAAAAAGTAGTTGAATTAGGTGATCGGTTGTGTGGGGTGACCTCTTAATACCTCAAGCTTCGACGAGGAAGGTGCAAGTGCACGTCGAGAGGAAACCACCCTTCCTACCTTAGGTACCTATGTACACTTTTAATCCGCGTACGCTCAAGGTAGGTAGGTACCTTAAGTTAATCTGAGGTGTCTTCTTGGATGAACGAGTGAGGCAGGAAACATCACTTCTAAAAATCTACTCGGGCCATCGTCCAAACTTCTGCAGCAAGTCCCAAGAAGCACACCTGCCTTAACGCTTCCTTCTGCTCTTAGGTTGCTCCTGCACCAGCAAAGCACGAGCATATGCATCACGGTCCTGACATCACGCCAGCCAACCCGCATATCGCATTGGCCTTCTTCGGACACAATACGCTTCCCAACGCACATCTGGCCAAGTGCCGTCTGCCAACGGCTCAAATGACTTCCTCGCACCTACCATCGAGGGGCCATTCTCGTCCAACCCTTTCGCAGCGGGGTGATATGGAATGTGCCCCTTCATGTCAGTGCTTGGCTCTTGCCACTTGCAGAGACACCCTTCCACCAGAACAATATCAGACGAGAATACCTAGCCGGGCATCTTGACAGTTTCCTCAACGCATGAAAAAAGAAAGGAATGCCCTCATGTCATCAGCAACTCAGCCCAGGCCAGGTTTGTCCAGCAGAGTTTTCACCAAACTTTGCTTCATATTTTTCTTCACGTAATCATCCCATGGTTCTTTCGCCCCCCTAGAACCGATCCGTATTGACGCCTCCTCATATCAGCATGGAAATCGTAAGTTTAACCACCAACGTCGGCGACCTCCCGCCACTCGCGGCCTGCAGCGGCCTTTTATCGAGATGGGAAGGGGCACAGGATCCAGACCATAGGTACATTGCTGCTCTTCGTCAATGCTGCAATGTACTGCGGGATCTAAGCTACTGGGCCCCACCGTCTTAGACCGACACTAGTCGACCTGAGATGGTCTTCTCGGGCGGATCCGCACCTCCATCAAAAGCAACGCAGGCCCAGAATAACATGCCTTTGGAACTCGGCTTCGCCTTACCGTTGACCTCGAAGTATATTCATCGATGCCATCGGAGTAAGACAGGCGTGATTCCTACTCTGCTGTACGTCAGATGTCGCCGCCGATACTCGAAAACTACCGATACCTGGGCTTGATGGTACTCGGACACCGAGGTACCTAACCCAGTGTGTGGCTCATTCTCCCAGCAATTTAGCGGACAATCCCTTCTTTGTCTTCAGCTGGACCATAAGGTCTTAAACCTCGACGTTTGACACTGACACGCCGCCATCGCGCCGCTCGCTCGTGGCATGCCGTGTCTATTAGACTCACAAGTCTCCAACCCCTATGCAAGTCTTTCTTCTGCAGTTTGCCGTCCCGGATGCTACCCTCGCTTCGCGCCGTCAAAGTGGGCATCGAAACACCGCCAGGCCCGCGAAGTAGCTCCTGGGGTTGGACGATGCCTTCCAAGTCATATGGACGACACGCGTTTGAGGCAGTCTCTCATGTGCAGGGAATAAGCTAGACGGGAACCCGCAGCCTTCTTTAATGCTTCGATCCATCTGTCACTCCCGCCTGGCGCGATGGCCCGGTTTGCTTCCCGTCTTGCATTGCGTTGCACTTTTCTCGATT